TTTTTTAGCCCTTAGAAACTGTTTAAACTGTTACTCATCTGTTCTGTTATGTGCTGGCTTGATTTTTTTAGTTTTCCCGTCTATATACGCCAAAAATACTGCTGTGACCAACGGTCCAATCGTACGTAACGAACTACTGTATCCTATACCTGTCTCGTGACCGCTTACGCAAGCGTACGCGTCGRTTAATAAGTTAATAAGTTAATCCAAATCCCCTAGAATAACCAARAATGAACAGGGGTAGGAAAAGAAAGGCCAATCTATTGTTCTCTCGTCTGCTCGWGTAATAGGATTAAAGTGAAAGGCACGGTGGCAATTTGTTTACTCAGCGATGACAGATGTGTAACCAACGAAACCTAACGAACCAACTTCGGATCTAGCCGAACTGGCCTCGCCGAAACTCGAACCCCGACTTACTTGTCAACTTACGGTTTTGCTATGGCTGTAAATTAGAAACAGTTTTTAAAAACCAGTTCCATTCAAACTGACATCCAAAAAATCCACGAATCATTAAACAATTGTAGCTTCTTTAGTATTATCTTGAGCGAATGGATTCTGCCTGCGGTTGGGATTTCCAAACAGATATTGGATTAGCGCTTGTACTTTGTTTGCGGCAATGTGTGGATCCTATTTCAAAATTAGTACCATATGTCTGGAATCTTTTCGATACAAAGAATGTCTTAGAAATAACTTTCGAAATGCATTTGTAAGTTTTATTTTATTATTGGTAATCGTTCAAAATTATCAAGAACGTCCTGGGAACCCAAATATCATTTACAACGCGGATTAGAGGTACCATCTATTAAACACAACACGTGAACGTTGTAAAAGGTCACGGCCGGGGGCTGTCATCGGATAAGATCGTTTGGGCCACGAGTCGGGGTTCGAGTTTCGGCGAGGCCAGTTCGGCTAGATCCGAAGTTGGTTCGTTAGGTTTCGTTGGTTACACATCTGTCATCGCTGAGTAAACAAATTGCCACCGTRCCTTTCACTTTAATCCTATTACACGAGCAGACGAGAGAACAATAGATTGGCCTTTCTTTTCCTACCCCTGTTCATTCTTGGTTATTCTAGGGGATTTGGATTAACTTATTAACTTATTAATCGACGCGTACGCTTGCGTAAGCGGTCACGAGACATGTATAGGATACAGTAGTTCGTTACGTACGATTGGACCGTTGGTCACAGCAGAATTTTTGGCGTATATAGACGGGAAAACTAAAAAAATCAAGCCAGCACATAACAGAACAGATGAGTAACAGTTTAAACAGTTTCTAAGGGCTAAAAAAACACCAATATAACGGAGTCTAACGGCTAAAAAAACACCAATTTTTGCCCTAGCGCCCTTGATGCTACTAATACTGACAATTTTGTGCCATTCTTTGAGAATTGGATAAGGTATTTAAACAGCAAAGAGTAGTTTTCTTTCATGAGACCTTTTTACATAACTTAGTTCAGGCTCAGTGACCTGCAATTTTTCTTTAAACTCGAGTAATGATGCGTTTACTTCGTCCGACATTTTGTTTTTAAAGATCATTTTTCAGATCAACTCATTTTATGAAATAATTGGTAAAGCAAAATTTCGTGTTTTGAAGTCGACAGTTGCCCTACTTGTAAATACATATGAAAAATGTCGTTAATTCTCAAAATCCTTCCAAGCCCAAATAAATAAATGGACCAGGAAGCCGTTAAAACAATTTCCTTAATTCATGTTATATGGTTGGTAAACCCTTGTTCAAATATTGATAAGATAATCCAGCATTGATCAGCTTGCATTGATCATAAGCAATAGGTATTATACATCATATTTGCCTTAAATTAGAAAAAAATATGCCATGAATCGTTTGAATTCCCCCGAATCAGGACAGTTCTTAAAAAGGTTAGACATAGTTATTAATTGTCAATTTTTGTCAATCCAGAGTTACCATTTGGTGTATTCTTTTAATCATTGGTTGTAAATTAATTCTGAAAAATCCTTTGAGAATGAACTAATAAGCTTATGTGTACGTAACACAGTASAGACATGATCAAACTCTAATCCGATGATGGCGGTAGGAAGAGGATAGCCCAGTAAATGGCRTTAAAAATAATATAAATCAGCATGAAACCAATCCTAGCGTAAATGTCCACGATTGAAGAGTCTTTTGCCTCTTCGCATTTCTTTTTAGAACGTCTACATTTGATTGGTCCGTTAGAGTATTTCATGTCAAACATGCCATAGATATTTATATCATTATTGACGGTGGAAGGAGTAGATGTTGATCTTCTAATGTTAGCCATTTTAATGGTGTGTGTCGGCAATTCGTCACTAGTGAAGGAGTGACTTGAACGGCAACGACCCCGAAAGAGTTCAGGAAGTTTACAAGAGAGCTGTGGAAATAAGAAAGRAAGAAATTTATTTCAGCGTAAAAAAAAGATTTGATGAAAAGGAAAAAGCATGACTTGAAGAAAATAAAGTTTTAACTCAGCAATGCTCATCTACTAGGAAAAATAGTTTGGCAGTCGTATGGCAGCTTAAAGCATTAAATACTATGCCGGGTATTRCGGTCCCCAACACCGCTATCCCGGGAGCAATTGGACGTTTGCATGATAGCGTCATCTGATTGGTCATTTGACCCATCTCACTACCAAGATGCTTTGCGAATTTTCTTTCTAATCCAAATTTGTATTCCCTTATGAGAATAGTAAGACAATTAGTGCTACATAACTAAATAAATGAACACATACCTTRATTCGGTGTCTTTTCATGACCACAACATACTCTAACAGTGTCCCAAGTACGAATACAAACGAGGTCATCAGGTAGATATCGATAGACTTAACGTATGACACACGAGGCATCCCGACATTGACATTGCCCCAGATGGTAGATATGGTTAGAAGAGTTGTGATGCACAAACTGACCCTCGCGGGGGTAGCTTTTCTATCGACCCATAGAGACATCCAGGCGACGAAGACAATAGCCATACAAGGAATATAGACCTGGATGAGATAGAAGCCAATGCGACGATTGAATGAAAAAGTTGCCACGAGAACCGAGTATTCACCTGGAACCAACAAAGAAACTATATTACTTACTAGTGGATCAACAATCCCTAATAACAAACCACTCTTGTCGAATTCTAGACATTATCAGCTTTCAAATGATATATATATGAGGTGGACTGGATAATCCCTGTGGGACTGATATTGACGTCTCTTAAGGTGCGATTTTGGGCTTCCTGTGTCAGGGTGATCGTGACCGTTTATATAATTGGAATGTGTGAAGCATGATATGTAATTCAAAAAATATTCATTCATATTCATTTTTATTAATAACCTGGACTGATTTAAGTCAGGGCATGGCTAACTCACAAATACGTGGCTGTTTGGAATTCAATGCGTTCGAATTTGTAGAGGGAGTGAAACCAGAAAACCCTGAGAAAAATTATGGCATCATGAGAGAGAAACCAAAAGTTTTACTGATGCAGAAAAAAAAAAATTTTATGAGCTCCTGAATCAAACAGGGTGACCCTTATTCCCTGACGTTCAAGAAATATCTAAGTTTAAAAGGCTTTAGCAAGATTGCCTTTCATAAGCGCATATATATTGCACACAGGAAGCCTAGCTAACGTTTAACGCGTGGTTAATTCATGGCCATGCCCCCATCAAATGGGTCATCCGATAACAACTCAATCGCAGCAAAAATGGGTAAAATAGAAGTTTCATAAGGTATCCATATTTTTTTCCTTTGCTTTGACCATTTTGTACAAAACTGGTATTTCCTTGCTTTTCTGGGTATTTTCTAAATTGTTTTTCTACATATTTTTGTTGTTCTTTCTGTTCAGTGTGCATTTGTTATTTTGTTTGCTTTTGTCGTCATTGTTGTTGTCGTCGTTGTTGTCGTTATTGTTGTTGTTGGTTCTGGAAACCAGGCCTATACTCAAAAATGAACTGACAAGATAATAATGCCTTTTTTATGAGCACGTAAGTAATGAAGTACGGAATAACAAACCTGCGACGTATTCCTCGTTTCGCAATACCGTTTCAATCTTACTCAGATAGAACTGCGACATTTCTCCATTGAGTACCTTGACTCCAGGGGAGCTTTTCCACCTGTACACTAAATGACGAACCGGGTAGGCGTCTACAAGGGAACACAAATTAAAGATCACTAATAAACATTAAAAAAATACCTGAATATCACCAAGTCATCGGTAAACGTGCATAAAACAAATAAAATATTTGCTCGCAAATAGGATTTTTATGTTTTCTCGTAGTTTTGTTCTATCTTTAGAATTTCGTTGTGGCGGAGATTGGTAATATGTGCTGTAATAACATTGATTGTTAGAGCAGTTTTCGTTAGACTGTGTAAAGCTCACGGCACGAACCGGAGGGCATGACACTGCAAGGCATACGTCAGCCCAATCAAATTGCACGAGAATTTACTCTCCATCAATCAAATGCCCAATTTCGTTTAGAAAAATTAGAAATCGGTTACATGTTTTTATTTTTATTTTTGGCAAGTCTTTGAACGCATGCGCTCTTATACCGGAAGTCCAAGAAATCCTGGTCTTGGCACTGCCAGACCAATCACATTGCGCGAGGRAAAATCTCCCTATTCTAGAAAACATCACGGTCAAGGCAAGGCACGAATACGGCACCGACAATTTCACAGTCATACGAAAACTTCTCTACGCATCATGGGAAACCGTGAGAGGGGTGTTAGGGGTGAGAGGGAYCCCCTGTGGCCTATAGAGTTATAAGCGTGGCGTCACTCGCATGGAAAAACGACTTCCGGGTCCAGAACGAAAAACAGTCATAGGTTGCATTGTTCTTACTTTTCCTTCGCTACAGATTTCTTGTGCAAAGTTTTAGATATTTCAGGAGGAAGATAAATCATTGAGGAAATTTTTCGCTTTGCTTTAGCGGTTTTTGTGATCAGATGGACCCGGAAATGCGTCAAAACTTAAAAGAGCTCTATTATAAAGCACGTGAACTCTCCAAACAGAATCAGTCTTATGATCAACTCAACGAGAATTGAATTAGGAAGATATTGGGTGATATCTTGAAACACCTTAATTATTGTTACATTAAATTCCAATTATTTTCTGCTATGTTTCTTACAACTTATGGCTCTGAGTGGGCARGATTGTTCGTCCATTGGGAATCTATGAAGATTCATGTAGCAGCGTGCTGTGACAGTTGCTCTGAAAARCAAGCATACACGAGTGATTATCGAATAGCTGAAAGCATGTGGTATGAAGYGGAAATAATGCATCACAAGCTTCTTTGAAATAGACCCTTCAGTGGCRTATCGATCTAGAGGATGTAGAGTTGAGTATATATTTAGGACCAAATTCAAATTCAATGCATCTAAGTTTTATTTTCTCAAGCAAAAATATGAACCGATTTTGCTTATCAGTTGTATCCAAAAAGCAAATTTACCATTTACACTGAACCGTCTCTTTAATTGTGTAAAAACACGGAACCGGATCAAAATGATAATATTAGTGGTCAGTTTTTYATCAGTCTAAACATGCGCAGAGCATGCGGCTTACCGTACCAAATGCTATCCGGAGAAGGAGCTAGTTTACAAGGTGTATCAAATTTGCGCGGCAAGGCGTACAAATTTTTTTCTGGGTAGCACAGCTTCCGAGTGAACGGAACGCYTATAAACGTACAGCTTTTTATATAACCTGTTAAGAATTTGTCCGACACCGTGTAAACGCAGCCTTAGCAAGGCTAATGATATTCATCGTACTTTCTCTCAGGCGGATGAAATTTGTGCCATTTGTTCAATTTGTGCCTTTTCTAGTTTCTCGCATCAGAGATCATTTGAAAGGGAGTCTATAGGCCAGGAATATTGAAATGTATTTCTACCTTGATCCCCAGAGTATTCTTCCATCAGGATYGATATCCAGCTTGTGGTTATTAACCATCACTGTATGCATATGAGCAGTACTTGCGTCCATGAACACTGTGTCTGGAACCCAGATAAAATCTGCTGGGTGTTTGGTTCCTAAAGTCAGCGTTAAAGTTTCGTTCATTCGATGACGAAGTCTATTGTCCGTCCATGATTGACGGAAAAACATGTCGATGCTGTATTTCTACAGTGAAAATAAACCAAAAAGATCAGTATAAATCGCCAGTCGGCCAGTCGGCCAGTCGGCCAGTCGGCCAGTCGGCCAGTCGGCCAGTCGGCCAGTCGGCCAGTCGGCCAGTCGGCCAGTCGGCCAGTCGG